ATTCTATGTTAGGCACAAAGGCACAAAAAACTTTCTAAAGTACCATAAAGTTTTTGTGTACTGTATTATTAGTGTTCTGAAGCTATTATGTGATATAGAAATTATATTTAAGTCATTAAATTCAAGAAACACCAAACTTTTCCCTTCTCTGCGCCTGTCAGTCATTCTCCATTCAGCATTCAAACAGCACGTCACATTCGGTTACAGTCAATGATGAAACGATCTTCAAGATGATTGAATGTTAATCCTATTATACTGGATCTTTAAGATAAAGGTCTAAAGGTCTATTTTCGAATGAAGAAACTTTTTCTTGCTGGACTTTATTGCTGTAACTTAACCGTGTTACTTTCTACCGGGTGTCGGACGCTGTCGGTTAGATCACAACACTAGAGTCAGAGCACTATAATTGTTCTTCACGCACACAGTAACTGAAATTTAAAACTTTAAAGGAAAAGGCTCAATAAACTATTGCATAGATAGATAATGTATAATACACTGTTCATAAATATGTATTTCCTTTGTGCTTTGAACTTTTCAATACGGACTCACTGCGCTGTAACTTCATGTGGCTTCAAGCACATCATTCTCCGCTCGGGATGCACATAAGTGCTTTGTGCTGCACCGTATTGGAGCCGTAATATCATAATGCAGTGACGTAATGACAGATTATTAATTGCCTTTCAATTATATGTTGCTGCGTCATTAAACATCTGTCCTATGCATTTCAAACATTTATAGCAGCCATGGCTATATTCTTGTATGATTTTTTGTTATCTTGTTTTTTCATGAATGTATTTTTCAAAAATAAGAGCAATGTGTATTATCTATTTATTAATATAGTTTATAATAGCATTTTTGTCATAGATTATGACAAAGTAATCATATGATCCACCAGCGAGGAACCAGCAGAACAGAGTGAACATTCTTTCTGTGTAGTTCAATCCTACTTAATAGGAATTTATTTAAAATGCTCGCTCTACTCCACACCATTAATGTCTTGTGCGGACATCCGTATTTGACTTTCGGTTTTAAGTAAGCGATTTAAAAGCTCCCAAGTCCCAGCGGAGTCACACGTTGATTAACCGGTGGGAATACACAATAGGCCTACCTGATATTGAACACAAGAGGGCAGTATAGCACTACGTATGACTCAGATTATTATTTTTTTCTGAATTTTACAACAATTCTGGCTGTTTTTGAACGTAAACATAATTCTTAAATGAAAAAAAGGAAAAATTGGGGAAGTTATAATATTTGTATAATTTAATTTAGAAACAAATGATGTATAATTACATTTTTAGAAGATATGAGGCTTTTAGTGTTTACTTTTTTGACATTACTTTAATCTTTTGCCATAGTTGCACATGTCTACTGGCTAATAAATGTGATGTATCTGTTGAGTTTCAAGCAATTTCAAGCATGCTAAGAGTCCCAAAAGCATCAAAAAAGAATGTTAAAGTTTGTTTCTTTGCCACGGCAACAGTATCAAAGATATCAAAAATTCATTCACAGGTCTACATCTGCCGTGTATTTACATTATACAGATGAAGTTTGAAGCAAATCGGTTAAAAATAAGAGAGTGATTTCAAAGCATTTTGAAAGTGACATACTTCCTGCTGCCAGTTGGTGGCGCTATAACTTTGACTCACAATAGTCACATCCATGTGATCGGTCTCTTACAGCGAAAACACTGCTGAAGTTTCATCAAGATCAGTTAATGTATGCTGAAGTTATAACACACATCCTGTTTCATGTTTCTCGCCATAATTTCGTTTCCTCGCCACGGCCAAGCCGTTCGAGATATCAAAAATCCCGTGGCACTTTTTCATCCTTAATGTCTTGACTTCACGCTGATCGAGTTTCGGCGAATTTGGTTCAGTGCTCTAGGAGCAATAATTTAAATTCCATTGCATGTGTTTTAAACACAACCCTAAATAGCCAACTTCCTGTTGGGCTGGGGTAAAAAGTAAGAGTGTGAAGTATATATGAAACGATGAGATCTATATGTGTACCAAGTTTCATATTATTACATACAAGTGTGTTTGATTTATGGACCAAATTTTCAGACCAAGTTTATTGACCAAGTTAATCTGATTAATAAACTAATTATATAAAACTATTGTCAATTCACTACAATTAAACTGGTTATATGCCTTTACTTATAAAAAAATAAAAATAAAAACTTAATTAAAAAATACCAGGCTTGAGAAATGTATTTTCTTTATGCAGGTCATACACACAGCAGTGAAATGGTTAAGCCCCCTCCCCCTGCACACACACACACACACACACACAGACAGCCAGCCAGCCAGCCAGCCAAAGACACAGAGACACAGAGACATGTAGGCTCAGAGTGGCCATATTCAAACAAAAATATCTGACTTTCTGTGGGTCCTAGCTAATAAGTGTCAATTAGAAAGTTGTCCGGCTCGAGGAGTACAATATACATACCAATTTTTGTAACTCTAGTTAAAACTAACCACCCCACTTTTGTCAAAAGGTGGCGCTACTGAGCCTCACCACGCCCGTTTCTGCAACTTTGCACATGTCTACTGGCTAATAAATGTTATGTGTCTGTCGAGTTTCATGCAATTTGAAGCATGCTAAGGGTCTCAAAAGCATCCTAAAAGCATCCTAAAAGAAGGGTAAAGTTTGATGCGTTGCCACGGCAACAGTATCAAAGATATCAAGAATCCATTCACAGGTCTACATCTGCCGTATGTTTACATTATACAGATGAAGTTTGAAGCAAATCGGGTAAAAATAAAAGGGTGATTTCAAAGCATTTTGAAAGTGACACACTTCCTGCTGCCAGTTGGTGGCGCTATAACTTTTACTCACAATAGTCACATCCATGTGATCGTCCTCTTACAGCGAGCACACTGCTGAAGTTTCATCAAGATCAGTTAATGTATGCTGAAGTTATAACACACTTCCTGTTTCACGTTTCTCGCCATGATTTCGTTTCCTCGCCACGGACAAACCGTTCGAGATATCAAAAATCCCCTCGCAAACTTTCATCCTCAATGTCTTGACTTCACGCTGACCGAGTTTCGTCGAATGTGGATCAAAGCTCTAGGAGGAGTATTTCAAATACCATTGCGAGCGTTTTACAAACAAACCTCAATAGCCGACTTCCTGTTGGGCTGGGGTAAAAAGTAAGAGCGCGAGATATAGATGAAACGATGAGATCAACATGTGTACCGAGTTTCATATTATTACATGCAAGCGTGTTTGAGTTATGGACCGAGTGTTCGGACCCCGTTCCAGGGGGCGCTGACGAGCCCCCCTGCCACGCCCAGGTACCAGCTTCAGCCCGGCTCTGATGGCCGCGGGTTCTGACCCGTGTGCAAAGTTTCAAGAGTTTTCGAGCACGTTAAGGGCCCCAAAAGTGCCCAAAAGGTAGTAAAATAATAATTATTATAATAATAGAGAAGAAAAATAATCGCAAGGAAAACAATAGGGCCTTCGCCCTTTCAGGGCTTGGGCCCTAAATATCATGTGCTCAACAAGGTTGCATTAATTTGATCAAAAAACACAGTAAAAACAATAATATTGTGAAACTTTAATTTATTTTTGTGATGGCAAAGCTTAAAGGAGTACACTTTTAAAAAAAAGTTTTGCTGATAATTTACTCATCCCCATGTCATCCAAGATGTCCATGTCTTTCTTTCTTCAGTCGAAAATAAATTAAGGTTTTTGATGAAAATATTCCAGGATTTTTCTCCATATAATGGACTTTACTGGTAACCAAATGGTTCAAGGTCCAAAAGACAGTTTCAGTGCAAACTGCAAACTGTTCAAAGAGCTTTAAACGACACAAGACGATGAATAATGGTCTTATCAAGTGAAACGATCGCTCATTAAAAAAAAAAAAAAACAAAGTTTAAGTTTTATAAGCTCAAATGGTCACCTTGCTCTGTTCTGTGATGCGCGTTCGTGACTCTTTTATCAAAATGAACGAATCTTTTTTCGTGTCATTTGGTTCATTCAACGAACGAAATGAACGAATTGACTCGGGAAAAGATTAGTTCATTTTGAACCGATTCGTTCACCGCTTGGTTACCAGTGAAGTGCATTATATGGAGAAAAATCCTGAAATGTTTTCATCAAAAACCTTAATCTCTTTTCGACTGAAGAAAGAAAGACATGGATATCTTGGATGACATGGGGGTGAGTAAATTATCAGCAAAAGTTTTTTTTAAAAGTGAACTACTCCTTTAAGTTTTAGCGTCAATTACATCAGTTATCAGTGTCACATGATCTTTCAGAAATAGGATTCTCTGTATTCTTCATTGAATAAGTTGATTTGGTCAAGAAACATTATTATCAGTGTTATTATATATTATATTATATTAAATATATTGCAGTTGCTGCTTAATATTTGTGTTGACACTATGATCATTCACACCCCCCACCCCAAGATGAATAGAAAGTTCAAAAGAACAGCATTTCTTTTTAAATATAAATCTCTCATAATAATATAAATGTCTTTACTGTCTGCTTTGATCAATTAAATGCATTTTTGCTAAATAAAAGTATAAATTAGCAATTTTCTAATCCTTTGAATTGTATTATATATAACACAATATGATATATGATTGACATGACATAACTGTATATGTAATGGTTACATGAACACTGCAAACTACTTACACTATAGTTAATTCTGTACTTTCTAAAACATTCAGAAATGTTCAATCCATCTAATTAAACCATTCTTGTCAGTAGAGGATAGCGCTAGCAAGATCATAGGTTTGGTTCAGTGGTTGGGACCCATTGACTACCACAGTTTAGAAAAAAAACAATATTGTGGAAGTCAATGTGTCCCATCAACTGTTTGGTTACTGACAATGTAAACAGTAAATGATAAAATATTATTTGGGTGAACTATCCCTTTAACTGATAAAAAATACAGCTTAATTGCAATGTTAGTCGCATTGTTTAAAAGAAGAAAAGAAAAATGCACACACACAAAAAAAAAAAAGATCTAGTGAGATTTAGTGGCATGACTCACAGCACTCAATGGGGTTAGATGCCGCCTGTAAGGACACCATCCTGCCATTAGGTTGGTTGATGTGGACACGAAACACCATCCTCACACGCGTGTTCTTCCGTCCGATGTCTGTCTCGCCCTTCCGGAGCTCGATGTCTGAGTTACGCAGCTTGAGAATTCCAGCGCAGTCGATTCTGTGGCACAGTAAGAATGTTAATGTTTGAGGAATAGACTCAACAAATCCTTTCAGAAGTACAAAAATGTGTGGTTAATATCGTTAGACAGTTGTTTAATAAACATTTTTTTCGGAACAAAGTAAACGTTTAATTTATTGCATGACTTTTTTTTTTTTATTACCACTTCTGCCAAAATTATGCCTGGCTCTTATTCTGCACTGCATAAATACATGCTCTCTCTCTTCCCTTCCAATTTCTGCTCCTGACATGGCAGAGATGTTGTTAAAAATCCATGAAAAGTTTACTTTCTCCATTAAATGTACAAAACCTCCAAATAGACCAGAAAGCCAACGTGTGTAAATACTTGCTTTAAAGCCTTTTAAAAGTTTTGAATCCCATTGAAGAAACATGTAGAGCCCTTTATTTAAGATTCATCTGTGTGAAATAATCTTAAAGCTTACTTTTTGGCAAAAACAAAAAAGTCTGAAAAACTGGAGAAACAATCACAGAGTATGACTGCATGAGTGATCTGTCAACACTACATCTACAGATATTAACATTCCCATGTTTGCGTGGTGAAGACGGGCACACTGTGTTCTAGTTATCGTCCTGATTTTTTGTTGAGTAACATTTTGTCATTCCTTTTTCAAAAAACTGCTTTAAAAAATGTGAAGCCCACGTTGAGTTTCCAGCCCGAACTCAATATACAAGGAACGAAATATAATTTTCTCTCCAATCAAAGGAATATATGAAATAAAATACTAAAGAGTTTAAAAACTGCACTGAAACAGGGGCATAACCATTTTTTGGCTTTACTACAGAAACGTGGCAGAGAGGGAACGCTACTCTGAAACAGGATCCAGAGGGGTTGTTTTTTTTTGTGTGTGTATAAGTTAAGTGTTACATCCATTATAGAGTGAAGAGAAAATGCTGAGCTAGTAAGACCGCTACCGCCTGGCTTGCAGAACAGACCCCAGCGCGCCATTACAGGCACCACGCGACCAGAGGCCTCCTGTAACACAAGCCCTGGAGCTCATACAAGGGAAACCCACAGCGCTGGGGCTCTGTCGAAAGCGTGCGCACACAAAAACACACTTCTGCTTAGCAACTGCCTTCACAACAGGGGAATTGGCGGTAAAACGGAGGGTTGTTTATTGCAGGAAATATGCACAGGATGCATTGTGGATATACAGAATTATGTGGAACAAACATTTCCCTCACCGGGCTTTTCTGCATTTTTTTTCTTTTTCTTAGCATCTTTCTGAGATATATACTCACATGGCCCTCATGTTGCTCTCGGGCAGGAGAGGAATCTCAAGAACTTTGGTGTTGGACTGCATAACCTCGTGGCTTGGTGTGGACACGGTCTTCCCGGTTATACGGTGGACCTGGTAGAAGGCGTGAGGCCGGAGAAGACGGTCGTCTGCCGTCCCAATGAACAGCTGTAGGGTCAAAGGCTCACTCTCCATGTAGCCGTGAAGCTGAAAGATACAAATATGAATTTAGTGGTGTAACCCATTTCTAGCTATAAGCAGTTTCTAGTTTAGCGTGAACAAACTGATGTTCGACATGACGCGTACATCAGTCAATTAGAGTCAATAAAAAGATATTTTATGTTTGATGTAAAGTGGGATTTTAGACAAATGAGATTTTAAAGTGGGCGTGACTACCCAGCATGACCCTGCATAAATTGACACTGAATAGTTGACAAAATAACCTGCTGTATATATATATATATATATATGAAGAGTTCAGATGCAAAAGCCTCTAAATGCCATTTTAAATTTTCTTCTTTAATGATGATTTTTATCAAACTTGTATATTTAAGTTCAGTAATTTCACCTAAATAACAATTAATAGGTAATTGTCATTGCCGTTTAAGTGAAATTACTGAACTTAAATATACAAGTTTGATAAAAATCATCATTAAAGAAGAAAATTTAAAATGGCATTTAGAGGCTTTTGCATCTGAACTCTTCATATATATTTTAATTGCCACTTCTTTTGTCAGGTTAGGACATGAATCACTTCCATGTTCTAATTAACACGTGATGCCATTTTGTCAGTGTGGCAGGTAGCTCCGCCCACATTCAAATCTCATTAGACCAAAAACCGGATTTGTACGATTTAAGTAATTAACACTTTTATCCAACAAGAGTTCGTTAAATTGATCTAAAATGACATTATAGACATTTATAAAGTTACAAACTGTTTCTATTTCAGATCAATACTTTTATTCTAAACTAGTAGTTCACTTTCAAACAAACTCGTTCATCATAATGAACGAATCTTTTTTCGAGTCATTTGGTTGATTCAACGAACGAAATGAACGAACTGACTCGGAAAAAGATTCGTTCATTTTGATGAACAAGTTTGAACAGGAGAGTCACGAACGTGCATCACAAAACAGAGCAAGGCGAGCATTTGAGCTTATAAAACTTAAACTTTGTTTTTTTTATAATGAGCGATTGTTTAACTTGATAATGCCATTATTCATCGCCTGGTGTCGTTTAAAGCCCTTTGAACAGTTTGCACTGAAACTGTTTTTTTTTTTGGACCTTGAACCGTTTGGTTACCAGTAAAGTGCATTATATGGAGAAAAATCCTGGAATGTTTTCATCAAAAACCTTAATTTAATTTTCGACATGGACATCTTGGATGACATGGGGGTGAGTAAATTATCAGCAAAAGTTTTTTTTTTTTTTTTTTTTAAAGTGAACTACTCCTTTAATCTATCCAATCCTGAAATAATGCTTTCCACAAAAATATTAAGCAGCACAACATTGATAATAACATTTTAACATTGATAATAATAATTGAAAAATAATTGAAATATTTCTGCATTTCTGCATGATATCTGAAGGATCATGTGATACTGATTTACAATATATTAAAATGGAAACAATCAATTAAGATTGTAATAATATTACATCATAATATTTCAGTTTTACTGTTTTTACTGTAATTTTGATCAAATAATAGCAGCCATAGTACACATAAGAGATTTCTTTGAAAAACATAAAAAATCTAATAGATCCAAAACTTTTGAATGGCAGAGTATATTGTTTAGCAAATATATTGTATATATAAGAGACTGATTTTAAAAGCTGAAAAAAGTTCAAGGAAAACCACAAAAAAGCTTTGAAAAATCCTAATTCATTGACACAAATATGAAGTAAGATTTTAAATTTGAAGATTTATATTCAAAGCTCAAGCACAAGCAGTTGATGTATGGAGACCCTCAAAGAGGGTGGTCAGCATCTGTGGTGAAAGTCTGGACCAGTGTGTATATTTATTTAAGTAGATATGTTTGAGCCTGGCATTTATGTTTATTCAGGCAGTAGGGAGTGCACAGTCCAGAAAAGACAGAGGCCAGAGAGGTCCCACTCCCAGAACCCTCCCCTCACTTCATTACATTATCACCCACTAGAGGAATGCCAAAACTCCATCCGCCCATGGCACGGAGTTCAGAGCCGCATGTCCACACCTCCAAGTGCTGTGGGTCAGTTCTCACCCACTCAAGCTCTCAACCTCCGTGGCACATCTGCGGGAAACAGTTTGAGGTAAAACAGTATCTACAACACTGGCTCCGTTCAAGAGTTACTGGCCACATCCAGTGAGCAAATTCTTACTGGAAAAGGTTATGTCTCATGTGATATTGAGCAAGACCAACTGTTCTTCTTATTGAACTCATTCACTAACAGTGCATATGCCTGTATTGAAATCCTGATTCATACATATAAGTTGACACATTTTTGTCTAAATTGAAGGTCAACTTTAGAACCAACTAACCCCCCCCCCCCCACACACACACACACACACACACAAAAAATAAAGTAAAAAAAAACAAAAAAAAAAAATCTTCTTAAAAAATAATGCGCAAAATTAATTAGAAGAACATTTTGAAGATAAAATATAAAAGTTTAAATTATAAGCATATTATAAAAATATTATTTATATAATTTTTTAAATATGAAAGTGCATTAACCATAACAGAATGGATTAAATGCAGCCAATATATAATATATTTTATGATTACATTACATTACATTAAATACAAAATACTTTCATAAATCCCAATAATGGTAAACAAACAATCAGTTCACGTAATAATGGGCAGGAATAAAGATCTGAACAACTTTGACAAGGGCCAAACTGTTACGGCAAGGCGACTGGGTCAGGAAATGGCAGCGGTGGTAAGATTTTACCAACAGTCGTCTGAGGACGGACAAACCACAAACCAGAGGCAGGTTGTTGGGCGCCCGAGGCTCATTGATGCAGATGGGCAACAAAGGTCCATCTGGTCTGAGCCAATAGAAGGTCTATTGAGGCACAAAGTCACACAAAACTGTAATGATGGTTATGAGACAAATATGTCACAACACATAGTGCATCATTGCGTATGGGGCTGTGCAGCCTTAGACCAATCAGAGTGCACATGATGACCCCAGTCCACCATCGAAAGCACCTACAAGAGTCAGAATTGGACCCTGGAGCAGGGGAACCTGTGCGCTATTTACCAAGGGAAGTGATGCCACCAGGATGCACTGTGGGACAACGAAAAGCCAGTGGAGAGAGTATGATGCTCTGGGCAATGTTCCAGTAGCACCTCAATGCAGTAAATGAGATCCACGGGGAGGAGTCGGATCAAGATCCAAGAGGTGGAGATGGGTAGGATTAGGGTTGGGTTTAGGGATCAGCGGGCGGAGTTGGGTAGGTTAAGGTGTATGTAAGGTGGAGGAGTTGGATCTGGATCTGACTCCTCCCCGTGGATTTCATGTTCCGCAGTGAGAACCATCTCCAGTGTTCTGCTGGGAAACCAAGGGTCCAGCCATTCATGTGAACGTTGAGCATTGTTGCAGACCAGGAACACCCATGGCAATGGTGTTCCCTGGTAGAAGTGGCCTCTTTCAACAGGATAATGCACCCTCCCACACATTGTTCAGGAATGATTTGAGGAACATGATGAAGAGTTCAAGGTGTTCAAGGTGCCTTGTCCTCCAAATTCACCAGATCTCAATCCAATTGGGCATCTGTGGGACGTGCTGGACCAAAAAGTTCAATCCACGGCGGGTCCACCTCGCAACCTACAGGACTTGAAGGATCTGCTGCTAACATCAGATACCACAGGACACCTTTAGGGGTCTTGTAGAGTCCATGTCTTGGCAGCACACAAAAGCATTTTAGGTAATTGGTCATAATGTTTTGGCTCATCTCTGTACTGTATGCATATTAAGCATTGCAATATGAATGCAGCCAATCATGTGTAGTCAGGGTATCTGAAGGGTAATATTGAGGGTAAGATCAAATGTATGTCTTTTTGCGCACTTAAGTAAAAACTTGAGTACGCAAATTTCTAGTGAAGGAGACACATTACTATGATAAAATAAGTCATAAAAAGACTTAACCAGATAGAAAATCTACTAATAGTACTCAACAAAATGTTATAAAGATCACAGTAGGCCTACGCGATAAAACCAGTCTGAATATTAGAAATGTGGAAGCACTGCCTTTACCAAGCAACCTATATTTAGGGATTTCGTCACTTATTCCAGTTACAGCAGTGATTTTTGTTGACAGAGCTGTTCTTAGAGAAGTTAACTTCCCGAGAGACTAAAGCGCAGACGTGGAAGCACATAGCTGTGGTGCGGCAGGCTTACTTCAGAGGCTACACACTCACGTCTACCGTCAATCCGACGGCACATGTGGTCAAACTGCATCCAGGATAGAAAAAATCTGAAAGAAACCACCAGGAACCAGAGCAGGGGGGGAGAGAGAAAAAGAGAGATGGGGCTCTAGCACAAAAAATCCTGACCATCAGAAACCACCAAACCCCAAGTGGAGAGACAGAACGAGGGAAGAGGGGAGCTCTAAGACTAAATATGAGGATATAGTGAGTGTAGGCAACACATACAAGTAGGTGCTTCAAAATTCTGAAAATATGATTCATTTGTTGAGATCAGGGCTGAAATGATTGGGAATTGGGAAACCTGACCCTCTCCATTCTTAAAAATAAACTGGAATTATTAAAAGTATATATATCTGACTTCCAATCACCATTAAAGTTGATACAAAACAAGAATGTTAGAGAAACTGTGGCCACATGTCAATTTGATTTTTATGTGAAGAACTTTCAATTGAAATACTCTGATTACGGTCCAAACAAATGTGACAAACGTACTTCACTAACAACTCCACTTAAGGTCACAAAAGAACTTGCACACTGACTGAGATCCTCAGAGGAGGACAACGGCGGTGACAGAGCATGAAGGGACGTGCTGTACAATAAAAGAAGAACATGTGCAGCTGAGAGCGCTCTCTAATCTGATGGTTTACAGAATGGGACAAGCTTGTTTGAGGCTCTGTCGAACACTCCCCTTCCCTTGCCTGCCAGAACTGTGTGCAGGAAAGACTTGACGCCTCCACAAGATGCTGTTGCACATGATGTCAGTGCAGTACGAGGAACTGTAGCTAAACAAAAGGCAGTCTGTGCAATAGGCCGGAAACGGCAATGGATCTGAAAAAAAAAAAAAAAACGCGGGTGAGAGGACCTTGTTTTTTCAGACGGGAGTCGCACTGAGCCACGTGTTCACAATCATTAGCACCTCGTTATTTTGAATTCGAAGTACCCAGCAGCCACAGATGTATTCTGAAATGCTGAATTCACCTTTAACTGCGATTTCAGTAAATAAAGTGGTCGTGGAGACTGTGGTTCGCATACCCCAAGAGGCACATCCAACCACACTGATGTTTTTCAGATAAAACCACGACTCCTGTCTTTAGGAATTCTGTTATCCATTAGGGAGCATCTGCAACCAACTGGAGCAGCGAATACCCATGATTCAGCTACGATAGCAAATGAGGTGTGTGACTCACCGATGAGCTGAACGGACTGACACCAAGACACTCCTGTCTTGTGAAATATCAGAAGACCTCAACTCACACTTCCTGAACTGGCAGCATAACAAACAATATAAGGGTTTAAATCACTTTAACGTCACTTTGACTTTAGAGAAAACAAATAAAAGGAAGTTCCCTTACATGACCAAAAACAATGAGAGAGTGAAAATATACCACCATAGAACAGAGAGGATGTTGACTATAAATAAATAGTTTACCGTTTAAAGACCATTCTCTGAGAGTTTCCACAATGAATGGCAGCTTTAGTTTGAAAGAGCATATATATATATATGGTATTGGTTTCCACAAACATATTAAGCAGCACTACTGTTTTCAACATTGATAATAATAATAAATAGTTATTGAGCATCAAATCAGCATATTAAAATGATTTCTAAGGAATCATGTGGCACTAAAGCCTGGAGTAATGGCAGGAAATTCAGCTTTTCCATTACACGAATAAATTATATTTGAAAATATTTTAAAATAGAAAACCGTTATTTTAAATTGCAATATTATTTCACAGTATTACTGGTTTTACTGTATTTTTAAATAATTAAATGCAGCCATGGTGAGCATAAGAGACTTCTTTCAAAAGTGTAAAAAAAATCTTATCCTGAAAACTTTATTATTCTATTTTTATTTTATTTTCAAACCTATTGCATTTAACAAAAAACAGCTTTTTTTCATGCAGAGATCAACCTAGAAGATTTTGATTTTAATCAAACTAATCATTTCCTGCATCATCCTAAAACCAGTTGAAACATTCCACAGAAGAATGAAAGTTGTACAGGTTTGGAACAACATGAGGGTGAGTAAATAATGAAACAGCGAACTATGCATTTGAGAGACCCAACTGCTTTTTACAGATTAGGAATGTCCCGGTACCAAAATTCCAGTAGTCGGTACCGATACTATTAAAATTTTGCGGTTCTCGGTACCAATTTCGGTACCACAGAAAAATCAGTTTGAACTATTTTTCCAATTTTTTTAACTATTAGAAAAAAAAAAAAAAAATTCAATGACTTTATTTTTTATGATGGTAAATTTATGAAAGCATTGAAGGCTACATGCTGTTTAAACGGAAATATTGATTGCTTATAAAAATATAAAGTGAAAAATAAGCAACCTTCTATGCACATATTACTAATATCATTAATATTTAATTAATGGAGACATCTATTGTACAGTAGCCTAATACGGTATAATTATTTCTGTAAATTTTTTTAAGTTAAACCAAACTTTTATTTTGACGGGTTGCCATGAAGACCTTTGAGTTTCTGTGCATGTATAGTATGACGGTAGTTTTTCTCAAATGAAACGGTAAAATGCTCATGAAGTGATTCTCGGACACGAATTGAATCATGAATCGTCATCATATCGTGAGGCAGCAGAGACTGAAAACAGCGCGAGCATCACTCGTGCTTCAGTGTGTGTGTGTGAGGTAACGTTAAATGAAACCGCGCGTCTGCGCCGTTCATTCACACAGAGACAAGCAGAACATGTAGGGTTAATATTTAAATAGTCGTTTTGCAGTTTAATACACAGACCCCACATCAGTAGCGCCGCCGGTCGCCATGTCTCAGCGCTTTCATAAAGAGGACGCAACTTCACGCCCTTCATGCATGCAGAACCGGATTTGACCGGGTAGGCTACTTGGTACCGTGACGTTTAAAAAGTTTTAGTACCGACTTGGTACCGAATATTTTGACAACACTATTCGAGATTATGAACTTATACCTGAACCACTGGATGCCCTCCCGCTAGTGCTTTCACGGCCCCTCTGCTGCCTTCAGTCTCATAATGAGCACGGTGATGGGACTTGGGTTGGACATCAATCTGTAGGCTATATGGCCCTGAACTGGAAGGCAACTGCCAATCAAGAGCAGGCAACGATGGACTTCGAAAATAAGAATGAGAGAGTCCAATATTGAGGCAAAGAGAGAGAGAGAGAGAGAGGGAACTTTGGTTAGCACAGACAAAAGAGCAAACTACTTGTTCATGAATATGAAAGAAATTTTTATATGGAACCAACCTGATGTAAGGCTTCGGCTTGGACCAGTATGGGTGTTGGGGTACATCCAAGAAGCCACTACAGTAGGTCTCTTTTTTGAAGGGCAGGCGTGCTGAGAAGTCATCCTGGCAAAGCTCCAGGGATCCCGTCTCCTCTCCACCTGGTTCTACTTTTAGGTTCATCGAGGCACTGTGCTCCTGACTGGTCTTGCGGGACTTTAAAGGGATCCCCTCCCCAATATCTGTTAATCCATCTGTGGTGAGGGCATTAATGGCGGCGACAATGGCAGAGTTGGTGTACTGATTGGTGTTGACGAGCCAGGTATCCTCAGTCACACTGAGACGGGGTGAAGTTTGTGGCGATGGCCCCGGGGATTGATTCGGCGAGTACGGATGGTACTTGTGCGAGTTGACGCCATTAAAGCTGTACTTCCTCTTACCGCCACAAGGAGAATTTGGTCGAGAGCCTCTGGTGCCAATCCAGCTGTCGTCTGTGATACTGGCACGGGGAGAACCGGATGGTGAATGGCGCGGAGACGCCCCGAGGGTGCAGGACTGCAGCGACGAGGAACCTTTCGGCGAGACGCATGGGGACTGCCAGGGCGAGTTCTGCGGCGAGTTGTCGTAGTTGTACGAGAAGCCCGATTCGTATGACGACGCATCTGAATGGCAGCTACGAGAAGACACGCTGCTTGCCGGGCTGAGACAAGTGGGATCACGATAGCCGTCGATACTTGGCAATGTTAATGTCACTATGGAATTGACTCGCTTGGCCACGGGAACGCTGTTCTCCTCTACTTCATCCTCGGGGAACTGCCCGTAAGCCGTTATCTCAATGCGTGGACTCTCCAATGTGGGAGCTCCGTTGGACCGGGGCCCGGATGTTTGGAAGTAGCCCACCGAGCTCATGTCATCTTGAGGGGAGAATGAGGATGGCTGACTGATGGATATTGACAATGAAGGGCTGGTCTGGAGATTGTGGTACTGGGAAGATGGGCAGGGGTTGCTCAGAGGAAGTGAAATGCTGGTGTTTTGGCTGTAACCGTAGGCATCTGTAAGGTGCAATCAGAATTTCATGAGGTACTGCAACAAAAAATAAGCTATAGAGATAAAAGAGCATAGGTGGAGAACATTTCTTGAAGAACGTGCATAAAGGTGCTGTGTGAATATTTGAAGGAGACTGCTGCTTTTACAATCAGCCACCTCTAATAAATAGCTTTTTAATTTTTATGAACTGCCATTTGATTCGTATAAAATGGTGGCATTATAAAAAGACACTCTACTCTTTATTAGTAATAGCTGTGAGTCAAAACAAAAAAAACAAAAAAAAACGTTAGTGGCTAAAAGCCACAACCTTTGCAGAGGAAGCAAGGTGAGTGATACACAAATACCAGGCCAAAAATAACAAAGTGTTAAAAATACCTTTCTGAGGACAAAACCGGACGGAAAACCAATACTCATAAGCGATCTTTGTCGAAAAACGGGCAAACATTTGCTTCAATGAATGCAATGTATATATTGAGATTAGAGAACAACACGACATTTGAAGTGCAACATGACTAACAGAAGATGTCTTGACTAGAGAGAAAAAAAAAAAGAGTGATTGGTGCTTTCTGGAGAGTACAAGATGAATCATTGCCCACTTTAGCAATTTTAGTTTATCCAAAAACTTTTCAAACATTTTTAAAAGCCTTTTCTGGCTTATTCAGGTTAAGTCTGTCCATCTACCATCCCATTAAGACATACTTTATTGATTGAAATTTTTGTGAATACATTTATTTTTATTCGTATAAAATCAAAAAGGAAAAAAAAAAAAATGCTGTTAGGTTGAGTGAGCCACTGTAGTCAGTCAGTCCAACCTGGTGGAAATATATATAATGTAAGTTAGCCCAAACTGGCTCACAGTCACTACTGGCTCTGCTTGGAATAAAATTTGCAATGATTTCTCGCTACTTTAGAGGACGATTAAAAACACGGATACTTGAAAATGTGACCACAGCGCAACAAAGCACCCTGGATACTGATAGCATGCTAATGTATCCCTAATGTATGTATCGTTTTTGAATCAAGTTAACAACTACATATTAGATTTTTGTAAGCAAGCCGGAAGTATACACCATGTGATTCTGATAGCTTAAAAAAATAAATAAAAGTACTAAATTACTGATTACTAAAAGTACATTAGTAACCCTGCTGAAATAAAACACCTTAAATCAGCTTAAGCAGGTTTTCTAGTCTCCCAGCCTTGTTATGATGGTCTGTCGGCTGGATTTAAAGTGGTTTTAGGCACTTTTCAGAGCAGGTCAGGTTCAAGTAGACTTTCAAGACCATCTTAAACCAGTTAGGACCAAGAAACCATCTTAAAGCTGGTTTAAGTAACTATTATTTTCCTGCCAAAATTATGATAACTGCCTTTGTTTACGTAGAGTTGTCATTATGAACTATAATCTAAGTTATCTTGCGAAATGCACATTTGCCGCAAAGAGAGGGATGCAAAAAGCCACAATCTAAATAACGTCCCTCCTTATTCATCTTCGTCCAGCCCACCACTCCCGTCTGCTAAGGCTGTCCCTTAAACTAAGGAAAACTCATTCAGTCCATTGAATAACAATATAACTTCACCAAACTGATCACAGGTATAGCTGTAACCACCAATGACCATTCGGAAATGAGCTACTGGATGCAAAACATCAACAAATCATACATGGGGAGGACTTGTAACAACTTTCCAAAGTCCTAATGGACACACAAAGATTGCACAGAGATTAGACAATATAGGTTTAGAGTTGTTATCATACTTATACTTATTTTTGTGTTTTATTTGCTATATATAGGCCTATAATTTTGGGGTAGTGATAATGCTATAATAAGTATAACTAGTAAAACGTCTATATTTTCTATTAGTGTCACCTACCCCAACTACTACAACTCACCTCTTTAGTGAGGTTGTTTACAACAGCGGTCTTTGCATTTGGCATTCATTCACACAGTTTGGGAACATGCTGTAGATTTCTAAATTACTTTAATTTGTAGCAGACAAATGTGGGAACGCTATGTCAAAGTTGGAGAGCCATGGCATTGCACGAGATCGCGTTAGAGAGTGTTACAACACTCCCCAGTCTCCCTTGGTAACCGAGATAATGGTGAGTGCAGGATAGCAGTCATAGATTTTTTTTTTTATAATTCACTACAGGTAAACTCATAAGCAAACGTGCATCCATTATTATGACGGTTCAATAATATTAGGATAATATTATAAAGCTAATAATGATACAGAAACACGTTCTAGTGAAATACGACAGTGTAAATACGTGCATTTATTCTTCTTATACGTTACCTTCCTCTGCCGATTTCATGCTTGCGAAGTGTCTAGCTAGTGAACTCACACCAAGTTCAACGCGCTTTCCCAAAACGCAAAACAGTGTCCGATCAGCGTGTTATGTCCCAGTATAAGGATGACTCCAGATATCTGTGATAAAAATGTTCTCTTCTACCGTAATAAAGGTGTATTCCAGTCACGAAACTAAGTTATTTGAAAGCTTAAATGATTTGATAGACAGCACTTTAAAAGCGCATGCAATAACAACGCAAAAACGTATTAATCTTATTTTAATTCAGTTTCTCTAACTCGTTATATTTTCTACTCTGGACTTGCATGTTAGTTTCCAGGGGTTCTGGTGACGCACTGCTTTGCGATGGAAAGGTCTCTGTATCTATATAAAGCCGGGAAACACCTCCGAGAAGCCCCGCCCCTCCATGGAGTGACGCAGGCACCACGTCTCAAGCTCAACGGCAGATGAAGAGGGATTCTCTCCTCGCAACATTTCCAGATGTGGAGCCGTTGAAAACTACAGTCTAGAAACCCAAGGCAAAAGAGCCGGCCGTGTGCGCATGCGCATCTGCTAGTGAAGTCCAACTCTTTTCTGAGAATCGGTTCTTTCGAACAGTTTGAACCGGTTTAAAAATGATTCAACGAGTGTTTAATATCCCCCAACCTCCTGCCATTGGATATTACACTCTCTAAAACGTCCCGGTAGAGTCATATGAAGGTAAATATTACTGTTTAGTATGATTTTGTTGGGTTATAGCAGGTCATTTTAAAAAGATGCAGCAATGATTTAGCTCGTTTAAAATAAAATAAAAGCACTTGTATCAAACTAACTACTAAAATCTATTGACTGCAATGTTTTGGGCTACTAAAATACGTATTAATTAAATCCAATTGTGTTTTATTATACATTCATATATATAAGTTATTGTCAACATTTCTTTTTAGTAAATCATACTTTTCACCTCATTCGTTTTTTCATTGGTTCTCGGGTAATTATATCAAAAGACAGCTTTAAGTTCAGAGAGTTTTGGTGTGCTAACCACCACATATAAACAGAATCATTGCAAGTTGGACATGTAGCTAAGCTCAGCACGCAATAATTTTTTTTCCAGAGCGCTCTTTTACCGATTCAGTCTGATTCGTTAATTCGTTCAGTCTCGTTCAGACCAGTTTTGTACAGAGGTTCATTTAGAAGAACTGATTCAAATTAACGATTCACTTACAAATCTATTTTAGGTTAGATGCTATATTGAATTCAACACAGATGAAAACCAGGCTGTGAGTGATAGACTTGCAGTCTTTACACTGTAAAAAGGTCCTAGTTCACGTAATTTTAACAACTTTTGAAACGGTTTCATGGAGTTTGTTTACGGAAAGTTTTTTTTTTTTTTTTCCTGAAAGATGTTTCTTAACAGTTGGTATGTTGTTAAAGGGATAGTTCACCCAAAAATGAAAATTAAGTCATTAATTACTTACTCCAATGCTGTACCAACCCCGTAAGACCTTTTTGATTAAATTTGAAGATATTTTTGATTAAATTTGAGAGGTGGATCACTGCTGCATAGGCTGCCAAAGGGATCGAAACTTGACGGCCAAGAAAGTCATTGAAGAAAATGTTTACATATTCCATGTGACTACAGTGGCTCAAGTATTATCAGGCGACGCAAATACTTTTTGTGCGAAAAAACAAACAAAAATAACAACTTTATTCGTTATTTTTCTTCATTTTCTTTATTGACTTCCTGGACCATCAAGTTTCGATCGCTAAGAACAGCATGGTACAGCATGGGGGTGAGTAATTAATGACTTAATTTTCATTTTTGGGTGAACTAACCCTTTAAATAAAAATCTACTGAAATTCATTGTAATTCTATCTCTCACAGCCTGGTTCTCATTCATATCAAAAAATAAATATGATGTTACCCTAACTAAGATCTATAGCTGAAATGCAAAGTGAAAGAGCCAGTGTGAGCACACGTGCATCTACTGGAAATCAAACGTGTCCGTTTTGAAAACAAAGGCAGTTAAAGAAACCATTATCATGTTAATTATCTATTGTCCCATCAATAGACGGATCATCGCGTAGCAACACCAGTGCGTTGATAGTGATTGAATAAACAGACTTGCAACTCCGGTTGTTTTTTTTTAGGACATCACAGTCCAGGGAAATGGGATCTGAAAATCACAAGATGCTGTTGGCAGCTCGGGCAACTATGATTTCGGTTTTGACAATTTTCCAGTGGGGCGCGATTCGCTGCGTCATCGGAAATCATCCAGGACTTTTTTTGAAGCCAAGAAATGTTGGCAAATGTTTGCATCAATGTTAGGGGTTCTTAGTATTCATGCGTGAAAAAAGATTCATATGCTTTTAACCCTAAACGTTGTGTGATTTTAATGTATGTTCAAGAAAGATAAGTACAACATGGTCTTCTCATTAGGCAAAAAATAGCTTCTTCCTTTTTCTTTTTTTTTTACATGGCTGAGCATTGCAAGCTCTCTAATGACATGGGCATGTTTTGAAGTAGCTGCATAGTGTTTGCCCCCACCAAGAATTCATCCAGGTCGAGTAACAAAAGGGAGCCAAATAGCCTTCACCTCACACGCACAGGATGATATATAATTGCATCAGGAATTAGTGCATTTATGAAACACAAGCTGTTTCTTTCATCATGGGAACGTGGTAATTGTGCCATTACCCTCTCTTACAGTCCTCTCTCTCCTGCTGTTCTGTGGGTCAAATGTATTTGTTTGACCTCATGGAAAGCTCTCACCCACTGGTTAGGGGCCCTAAGTGGGCTTGAAGGGATGTGGGCAGGGCCTCCCATGTCCTCCCCAGCTATGTGAAAGCAAGCTCCGTGCCGCAGTTAACACAGCTTCCAGGCTTAAGGTAATAAATAGCACTAACAGTGCTGATTGACGTGCGCCGAGTTCTACGTCAGTTGGCCTGTAGTTTTTCCACTCTGTCTGCCCGTTGTTGAGGGCAAGGGTTTTTAAGCAACAGCCGGACAGTTCCGGATATTTTGTTCACCTCAGCTTTGCAGTATACGCCAAAAACCTGGAGTGTACAGTCCCTATACAAAGACTTTTTGTTGTCTATCTTACTGGATTTAAATCTAAACTTACATCCGCATTACTAAGCTGTATGCAGTGACTGAACACAAAACCTATGGCTAATTAGCAAATAAGTAAAGACGTGGACATGAAATATTGATTTAAGCTTTGAATTGTTTTATATGGAGCCCCACACATGACATGCAGGAAAAATAAGCGAAATCCAGCACGTGGATTACTAATTTGTTCCCTCAAATTATAAATTGTGACCATGGTTTACTATTTCGTTCCATTAATTTGCTACATCGTGCGCACAATTTATAGACTGATGGAACAAATTAGTAAATCATCTGCACAATTTAGCAAATCGGGGGAACAAATTAGTAAACTGTGCACAGGATTTTTTTTTGCATGTCATGCAGGGCTCTGTAGTTTTATTATTTTATACTGTACTGTAAAAATGTGGCTGTAGGATTTGAATCAATTTTCATAAAATAATTTTATAAAATAATTACAAAGAAATGGCAAGTACCATTCAATTAAATGTGACTTTTTGAAATAGAAAGACTCTGTAAATCAAAAATCTAATAAAAAAATGTTCAGTGTACCCATGAATTACATTAAAGCTTATGAAAAAACAAAGAAAAACCAAAGAAAAATATATATTATAAAACACTGAAACAATATTACTAAAATTAACTGAAGTCACCCAAGATCATTTGACTGCCAGGTAACACTTTATTTGAAGGGGTGTGCATAAGACTGACATGACACTGTCATAAACATGAACATGAAGGAGTCTTTATGAATGTTTATGACTGTTGTCATTAAGTGTCATTCGGTAAATTATGACACTTTTAATGCAAAGTTGACATTGTTTAAAATGTCTTATTTATGACAACTTGACATTAACCAAGAAATCATAACTAGTCTAACGTGTTCCACTTTACTTGAGGTAAGGGGAAATATTAATGACAGTGTTGTTAAAGCATTTGACAGTGTAATAACCCTTAATAACATCTTTATAACTAGTACAATGTGTTCCACTTTACTGGAGGACAAGTAAAATATTCATGTCACAGTTATAATGGTGTCATGACAACCAAAGTGGGTAATGTAATGTTAACACAAAGCTAAATAACTTCTTTAAGTTTGATAATTTGACCTGTAATGACATATTTGTGACAGGTTGACAGGTTAAAGACATTTTTGTCTTTGTTAATGTCAAGTTGTCACAATAAAGGCATTTTAAACAATGTCAACTTTGCATTAAAAGTGTCTTAATTTACCGAATGACACTTAATGACAACAGTCATAAACATTCATAAAGACTCCATGTTCATGACAGGTGTTATGGGTAACACTTTACAATAAGGTTCATTAGTTAACATATATTAAGAATGAACAAAACTTATTCAGCATTTATTAATCTTAGTTAATATTAATTCCAACATTTACTAATACATTATTAAAATCAAAGGTTGTATTAGTTAACATTAGTTAATGCACTGTGAACTAACATGAACGCACAGTGAACAGCTGTATTTGTATTAACTAACATAAACAAAGATTAATAAACACTGTAACTAATGCATTGCTCATCGTTAGTTCATGTTAGTTAATGCATTTACTAATGTTAACTAATGAACCTTATTGTAAAGTGTTACCGTGTTATGTCATGTTTATGAAAGTGTTATGTAAGTCTCTAAAAAGACATAGGAATTCAGTGCAATGTTCACAGTGTTCGGTACTGAGTTTATGGGTTGCAAACTTGATATTGCAATGCATTATGGGACTGAATGAGTGCATTCAATAATGTGCACCACGGATGATGGACTATATTAGGTGTGGAGTGATTTCAGACACAGCTAAAGGCTTTAGATGCCTCCAGATGCATACGAGAACCCGTGATGCAAACCCCGCCCACCAGATTTCATTGTTCAATAAATTCACAGTCATCTGTCAAGAAAAGTTCTGATTCCATATAGGCTCAGTTCAGAAAAATCTTAAATGGGAGATAACATGAAACAGTAATTCTTTCCTATACTGAGGTTAAGGTTAGGGTTTAGGTAAGGGATTAACATGGGCCATGAAATCTTTAGAATCGCCAGTTTGGCAGTTTTGCGCTTCTGGATTGGGGAATCAATGAATTTCAGACCACTGATGGCGTGATTGACCAATCGGAGTGAAGTATTCCAGAGACCAGATGAATAATTGATTAGACGCCCACAAAGACAGGTCAGCCGGTTTACTCGCACTACAACACTGGGACTTTAAAATTGAGCCATACATTTCTCATTTATGTTCGAAAGACACCTTATTAACTGCTATGTCCAGGAGTGGCAGTGACTTTATGACTTCAAGAACTACTAACGCTAATGATAATGATAATACAATGAGTGATAATGCAGTTAGCTTGTCTTGTGTGTCAACATGATGCACTGCTGTTTACTCTATAAGGTTTTCAAGAATACACAAATGACAAATTATGTTTCCAAACAGGATACATGGGCGGCAATGTGCTATAAC